AAGATTTGTGGCACTCAAACCGTAGTGTTGAAGCAACTGCTAAACAACTTCTCGGTCAACGCTGTCAAAGGCGTTTTCAAAGTCGATAAAGTTGAGGTAGGGGGTTGACTGCCGTTCTATACTCTGTTCTATGATGATGCGTAGTGTAGCGTTGCAATTTGGTCCGCACATGATTCGTTCTTCCTGAAGCCAGCCAGTTCCAGTTGTAATTTTGAATGAAGAGAATCTTTTAGTCTCTCCAGGATGATGCGGCATAATATTTTGCTTGGGGTGGACAGTAGCATGATTCCACGCCAGTTCTGCCGAAGGCTTAGGTCTCCCTTCTTTGGAAGTTTGACAAGGTACCCAATCTTCCGATCTGCAGGTACCTTTCCTCCCTTCCACACCTTCTGCAGTAGTGGTGTCAGCATATCCACAGTTGCCTCTGTGTGTTTTCAGTACTTCTGGAGGAATTCCATCTAGTCCCGATACTTTCCCCGATCTCAGCAGTTTTATGGCATTCAGGACTTCAGCTTTTGTCGGAGGGTGTGTTCACTGGTTGTTCTATAGCTGCTGGTGGTATTTTCTGGACGAGTTGCTGGTGGTGGTGGTTGATTCAAGAGCTTTCTGAAGTGGTCAGCTCATTGTTTCTTTTCTAACTGGGTTTCCTTCAGTGTCTTTCATTGGTTTCATCTGTGTTGATCTCTCCCAGCCCAGATAGTAACCTGGTTATTTGATACAATGTTGTCAGGTCTCTCCTACCGGCCTGCAGCCTGTTCTGCTTCACTTGCCAGTGTTTCGTAGATGTGTCTTTTGTCTCTGCGAGCACTCTTCTTCACTTCTTTGTCCAGTGTTTTATACGTTGTACTCAGTTCGTCTTTTCCTTGTTCATCCCTGTCTACACTGGTTCATCTTCTGCTCACCATATTTCTCTCCCTCCTCTATCAGCTTCCATGTGTCCGTCGAGATCCATTCCTTGTCTTGCTGCTTCTTCTTCCTTCCTAACATGGTTATGCACGTTTCTTTCCACATCTCTTTTAAAGATTTCCGGTGTTCTTCCAAGTCCGATCCTTCAGAGATGTTGCTCGATGTCTCCCATTTTGTTCTGATGACTGACTGACGTGAAGATTTCCTTTGTAGTTTCGTCCTTCAGTTTCTGTTCTCGGTGGGTGTCGAACTTGAACTGTGATCGTCTATCACCAACTTTTTTGAATAGAAGGCTTTCAAGTTGATTTTGAAGGGAGGTTCTTTGCACTAGATAGTGAGTGGTGTGAACCTACGTCTGCTCCCCTTCTTGATCTTGTGTCAAGTAGGCCGCGTCCCCACTTTCTTGAGACTGAGATAAAGTCAATCTGATTTTTAGTGTGCCCATCTGGTGAAGTCCGTGTCGCTTTGTGAATATCCTTGTGTTTATACATAATGTCTCTGATCACCAAATCGTTGAATGAGCAGATAACTGCAAACAGTTCTCCGTTCTCATTCATTTCACCAAGTGCTTCTCGACCCATGATGAGTTATCTTCCTATGTTTTCTGCTCCGAATTTGGCATTCATGTCACCGTTACCGTCCGGGGTCTTGTTTGTTACTGCTTGTAGTTGTCTGTAGAATTCCTCCTTTTTCTCTTGGTCTGCATTATTTGTTGGCGAGTAGCATTGAATGACTGTGACTTCCCTTCCTTTTGAGTTGAATCTCGCTGTCATGATCCTGAAGGAGATTGGTTCCCACTGTATAAGAGCTTCCCATGCTCTTGGGGACATCATGATAGTCACTCCCTCCGTATGCTCATGGTTATCTGGGTGACAATATCGGAGTAGACCATTGAGTCTCCAGTCGACAGTTTGGAGAGTCCACTTCCATTCCATCTGCTTTCGCAGATTCCTAGCACTTCCATGCCATACCTCGTCATTTCTTTTGGAATCTGGTCAGCTTTGGTAGGTTCATACATGGTGCAGACATTCCATGTCCCCATGTTTACTTTCGCTTTCATCTAGAGGAGCGAAGACACATCGGCCAATTGGCTTCCCGAAGGCTTTTACCAACCAGTTTCATTTCGCCTCTCCGATTCCAGCGAGGAATATGTTTGCTTTTATTTTTCATATTTTGTCTGTGCTTTGAAGTTTCTTTGGCGGTTAGATCTGTTTTAAGGGGTAGGATTGCTAGCCCTATGCCCAACCTTCCCTCTTTACCCGGGCTTAGGATCGGCTAGTAACTAGTGAACTAGTTAACCAGGCGAGGTTATCATAATTAACATTCAGGCAATATCGAGGCATCCTCAAACCGGCCTATATGCCAACAGATGTCGAACAACTTGACCCAGTATAACAACGGAGAATTACAAGCATATCAATAAATAGTGATACATGATACTAAGTTATTGACTAATTTACCAGCCCTTCCGGTCGTGATACAGTTCCCATTTTTGAAAGAACCTCTGCGTTAGTAATGCTGAAGTCAAGTTTAGAAATTAAGGAAGGAGAAGAAAGTTAGCTTATGAGCTTGAGAGCCTTGATCGACTCAGATGACTGACTGGGACATGTGTTAGGTACACCAAGTCACCGTCTGCCCTATTCCACAATATTAGGCGAGGTAGATTCAAGCAGGAAAAAGGTTGGAGGTAGAAAAGCTAAAACATGGTATCATTTCATGAAGTCTTTGACTGTTGGTCTGAGCAGCGTAAGGAAATGTAAATTTCCCTGTTGGGATTTACGTGATAGCAGAAACCAGTTGTTGAAAACTTTAGGTGGCATGACTCACAGTCGACCTCAGTGAAGCAAATGCATCCGAATATTATCATCCGAATCGTCATGCCAAATTCAGTATTTTCTGATTTCTCCTTCCTCTCTTTTGTTACTTTCTACTGCTTTTGACCGATTCTTCGCTACTTCTTTCTTTTTATTGCTTCCTCACTCGATGTGTTGATATGAGATGTGGCAACTTGAAACACCACGCAGTAATGCCTGGTCCGACGTTGATTTTGATGACAATGACAAATCAAGAACAATTAGTCAGTAATTTAAGTTTCATGAGCAGTTATCATTCAGCTAAAAAATATCATTTTGGCTTAACTGATCAGTATTCTTCAAGTGTCTAATTTATCGAAAATGCATTTATCATATTGGAAGGAAGAGATCTGTTGTCTTCACAGTTGAGTAGATAATAACATCATAATTTCTCAGAAGGCTAGTGAGAAGCAAAAGATGTACAAAATAACTATTGAAACATCCTATAGTGAAACACTCAGTTAAAACGGTGAAGATAGGTACATCCTGCTGACGAATCCTTTACAGGACGAAACAAGGGTCATAGACTCTACTGGTACCCACTATCGATCACTAGTATCGAACTTGGATTTACTAGCAATACTAAAGCAGCCGTACAGAAGCTTATATACCAACAGTGACTGATCAGTGTAGTCTAGTCAATGACGTGTAATTACAAAGTATCACAGCGATTTATACTATGTTAAGAAGTTAAACACAACAAAGATGGTGACCACTCATGCATCAACTGACATTTATGCGTAACTATATATTTTTGAATTTATCCTCACCTTTGTTCATCGAGGTGAATGTATTCCTACAACTCTGATTCTTCTTGATTGGTTTTCCAAATATTCATAGCAGGTCGACATCATCCAGAGAACCAATCAAAGTCAACAAGCTGTTACAACTTAGTTAATGCCTTAGCGGTGCAGGCCCACGACACTATCTGATATCCAACTCAAGACTATGAACTCTTACCGTGAACACGTTACCATTCAGCCAATATATCGTCATTTGATAGTGTGTTTCCAAAGTGTCATTTTGCAAGATAGTACGACCATCAACCAGTATCACTGAGGTGTAACTTCCTTCATGACTGGTTTTGATGAAAGTGGCTTTATTTTCCAAAATGACAGGAATTGGAAACATGAATCATCGGATACCAACTTAATGGTGAATTGGTGACGTGTTCATCCCGAGTTCTGACGACATTGGGTTACAAGTTCCATTGTATTGTGGATGCACACTGCTGAGGAGTCACAAAGTACAATGAAATATTCGCTCAGAACTGCTTGATTTTCATTTTTTGTAGGCAATGTCGATCCATGCGGAATGATTAGAAGTCTTAGTAGTTTATGATGGATAATGGCGAGCAGTGGAGTTCAGGATACACGTTTCGTTGTTTGTGACTCGTCAGCTGGACGTTGTTCCTAATAAGACTAGTATCCAGAACTAACGACTTTCAGCGCTAGACGGCTATCTACTAGGCTATTGAATCACAATAGCCACTCCTTGTGAGACGGGTAAAGTATAGTGTTTATGTTATAGCGCATCCTGGACTTCACCGCTAGCCACTCTATCCATCAATATCTAAACTGAAAATCCCAAGAACACCGAATGATATGGGGATAGACAAAAATGACTAGTATGGAGAGGAACCAATCAAAATGTATTTTATGTCAAAACTGCTGTTTTGAATGTTGTATTCCCAGAGCTTCAGCAATAAAACTAAACGTTTTTCCATGCCTATCAGAAGATTACGTTATTTTCAGGTTGGTATTCATCATGGAACAACATCAGCTGGAGAAACATTGGAAACCCGGGAGCAATAGAAAGCTGTTTCGCCTTAGTATGGGACTCCTCAGCAGTCCACACCCATGAACCCGCCCCTCCAGAGACTGAACCTAGGATACCTCTCCTAGGTATGTCAGAATCCCTGATTATGCTGAACTTAATCAAAGTGTATCTGAATTTTATTCATTTTGCGCATCCTTTGGAGTGGGTTATATTCTATCTAAACTGATAATATTCTGGTTAGTTCGGGACACAGACATAGGTTTTGTATTGAAATACTATAAACTCTTATGAATTCCAATGTTCCCACTTAGTTTGGCGAATAACCCATATAAAATTGTAATAATTCAAGGACTTTGAATCATTATTCAATTCCTGTTCGTTCGTGTCTTCCGGAACGTGATAGTTTCTGATCGAGGCTGCGAATAGTACCCCCGTGATGAATAACCAATAACGACAAAACGTGTGCATAGAAATTTACATCATCTGCCATGAAATCCTTACGCGTGATAAATTTCATCGACTACAATTCTAAGCATAACAATATTCTGCAAATATGCATTAACCTGATGCAACGTATGCTTGGTTCTTTCACTCCCAAAACAGTTTACGATAACCATATGGGGGAAATATGATGATCAAGGTGTAAAAACAAAGTATTACATCAGTTATCAAGTCTATATATCACAAAAGATGACTTATTTTAGATATAAATATAAATTAATAAACAGTAAAAGGAACTGGTGTACTATTTACATGTTTCCATGTTAATGTTCTCTAAAGTCTCTTTAAAAACTGGATTCAACAATGTCACTTTCTTCGATAATATCTTGCGAAATATTTTGTGTATCGTCTAGCGACTGATTAGTAACGTAAGAGTCCATCACAACTTCTTCAAAACCGCCTGGAGATTTATTGAAATTATTTTCTTCCGGAGCTGAATTATCAGACGTTTCCTTGACGGACGCTTGAAGACTTCCGTCTAAGGACGAAAACTTCGACCTGGATTGCTCTACTTCTCGCATTTCTTTTACATCAGTGGTATTAAGTAGACCAGACTTCGCAAGTACCTTTAAAATCAAAAATATATATCGTCAGAAAATAAAATAAGTAATTTACAGTATTCTTGCTCATCTGTCAGCAAATCTGTGGTTGCATTTACACAATTTACACCATTCGGACAGATCTAATATGTCGCTAGCAATGTATGCATTTTATTATATATGTTTTAACGCTTCATTTTGAGTCAGCAAGTCCTCGATTGGAACCAAATAGCAAAATAACTCCTCAAAAGGATAAATCAATTAATGAATTCATGAACTTTGGTAGTAGTCATCAGCTGGATACTTTACATACTTGACTATATATATATATATATATATATATATATATATATATATATATATATATATAACGTAGACTGATACATTTGGGTGTTACAACATAAAAAAGAAACAAATTTTTTAAACGACAAGTAGTAATGCAAAAAGTAGGAGTGGATGTTTCAATTGAATAGGTTGGGGATAGGTTACATAAAAATTATGAGTCTAGATAGTAGTGCAGTCTAAAGAGTAATGTGGATTTCAAGTGAGAAAATAATAATAATAATGTTAACAGAGACAGGAGAACTGAATCGGTTGAGGGTAGATTACTTTCTTCAGAACAAGATACTCGATAGTCACTTAAATCGACATAGTAAGGAAACCAAGTGTGTGCAATGAGATTAATAATGATAACAAGGATAATAGGAATACGGTTAGTTAAATGAAACAAGTCGGGAAAGGAAAACAAAAATATAAGATAGAGGGTGAAAATTGAGGGCGAAGAGTTAAGTAGGGAAGAGTTAATATTATTAGACAACATTGTATTTCCTACCATGGTAGATTCAAGTTGACTACCATTTCCTGAATGTAGAGGTTTGGTTTGACAACTATAAACACACAGGCTTCTGCGGTTGCCAGCAACTTCATACTTTGCTGTCTACTGCTTATCGTCTTTTAGGAATTACAACTACCAATATCATGCCCATAGTACATGTTGTAACACCTATATCAATGCCTCAGTCTATGTGATACATGTATGTTCTTTAGCTGCTCATAGTGGTATTAATAATTAAGTGTGTAGACTATCCACCTGAGGTGTATCACTGAAATTTACGAATTCATTAAATTCTACTTTTTTGCAATCGTTGCTTGTTTCATAAATATGCATATTAGTTCTTTACTTGATAGAAACCTGTACTAAGGATGCTTTCCAACTCAAAAATGAAACTTTTCGGTTTAATGATTAACGTATAACTGAATACCGATATTAACAGCGATGCATTTTCAATAACACAACTAAATAATTTAATACCAAGACAACTGTACCAAAAAGACATTAATGTACACAAAAAGACATTTTTCCAACAAGCTACAAAAAACCTTCGTCTATATAGCCAGCTTGACACAAGTAGTATTCATATGCCAGTTCGCCCAAAACGTAGCAAAGTGGTTACAGTGTTATTCCACTTGAAGCAAAAATATGCACATTAAAACAAAATCAAGTGTTAGAGCATACAATCTCTTCAATCTCTTCTCTTCATTCTCAAGTTGGGAATTAGAAAATACATTCAAAACCAATCAGATCTTGCTAGAATTTTCTAGATATTCATATAACTAAACGTGTAAATACCAAGTTCGATATATCAGTGAAATCAACGCTTTTCGACCTGTTAGAACAATATAGAAAGTATCCAGGCTATCTGTAAATATAGGAATACTACAACCGAATCGAAATGCACTTAACAAACACTTGCACATTTGTACAGTAGGTTATGAGTCAGACATTTTGTGTATGGGCTGCTCAAATCTCAGTAGACGGAGTGGGCTTCCAACGCATCAGCCACTGATTGGAAGTTGAGTGCCTGGACCAATGGGTTACAGTTACACAAATACTAAAATAAATCTTACATGAATCACCTTGAGATACACTTCCTGTTATTTAGTCACCTTTTCCCTTTCTCAGGGAGGAATCCCAAGGCTACTGCTTCAGAATGGATAAAAACATTAGTAGTTGCATTCTAAGCAATGCTCCACTGTTTGTTGTCAATAAATTAACTTTAAAATACATCAGTTAGATGCACTTCTTTACTAAAAACAAACCTAGTAGAGAAGCAATGTTTTATAATTAGCTTAGATATCACCACTAACTGATGTTAATCTGTAGTACTGTAGTGGGCGTTGCTGATAAGAATGGATATAAGTAGTATATGTTGAGGTGGCAGAAATTATAGGGAATAACCAGAAACGGGTAAGGATCCTGCTTAGAGAAACGCAGGAGACAACGCGGGCATATGAAGAACAAATCAAGAGAGAATCAGAAGAGGAAATGAAGCACATTTTGCAAATGACTGTCTTAGTGTAAGGTGTGCCATATTTAACGACTACTGTTCCACATGTTAATATTAGACGTTCCTTCCTTCTTCTCTGTCTTCTCGTTTCCTTCAATTGGTATCACTGCTTCTGGACATGATGAAGATTCCATGGCCTGCAGAGTTCGAGGATGGAGACATCAAGGTGCTTCTCAGGGATTTCGAGTCGGTCACGGAGCTGGTGGGTGTCTGGGACCCAGGAGCGAAGGTTGTGATACTTGGCACGTTGCTGAGGAGTAGAGCGAAAGCAGCATATGACGGCGTGGGACGTGGGGATGGGAAGGAGACCTGGCAGAGACTGACAGCTCAGTGGACAGGGAGCTGGTGATGCAGCAGTTCCTGAGCACGAAACCCGGGATAGACGGAGATCCGCTGGTATTGGCTGTGAAGTTGACTCAAGTAATTCGACGAGCACTTCCCACTTTGGATGAGGACTCCCAGGAGCAGTTGCTGGCTACACAGTCCATCGAAAGTGTCCTGAATGTCATCACTGAGCAGCTACGACTAGTCAACGCAGCCCAACCCATGGATATTAGTGAGATGGCCAAGGTCACCCGACAGCTAATGAGTACAGCAGCAGCTGCGGTGGAGTCACTAGAGGTAAATAACTGGGGAAGAAAATCAACAACTTTCAGGAGGAGGTGGTTGCACTTCGAATGAATATCAACGGACAGAGTAAATGCTTCGCATGAGGAAAACTGGGACACTCGCGTAGAAACTGTCCGGAGAGGCGAAAAAGAAAACGTATTGAACGATATAATATGAGTTCTGTTTTTCCGACTAAACTAGATGTTATAGAAGCCATTGATAGAGGTACTGTGTATGCTAGAATCCTTAGCCATTGCTGGTAATTCCCTATGATTTCTGCCGCTCTCTCAACACATACTACTTATATCCATTCTTATCAGCAACGCCCACTACAGAATTATTCACGAGTATTAAATACCACTTTACAAAAACAACAGCTATAAACAAAACAATGTAACAATGCAACACTAACTTGTTGAATTGATCTCATGTCCACTGTATTAGCCATGTCTTCGTCATTCATATTCACACTAATATCCATGTGTATATACTCTTGAGCCGCATTATATTCATGATTACCTGGTGATTTAGCACTATCAGAGATACTATCGTCAAAGTTCTGATCACACTGTTCAAAGTGTTTACTTGGAGGAATATTTGTTGCTTTCTTTGTAGATATCGGAGTGGAACGATAAAATTTTTTATCGAAATGCATAGATGATCTTGACTTTAATGAAGAACGAGGAGGGTGAAGCGAAGTTTTTGCTATACTTAATTCCTTGCTGTTTTTCTCATCAGACATGTGATTGGATTTTACAGGTGTTGTCTGTGTTATACTCATTTCTCGTAAACTTTGTGCAATCGACTCATCTACATTAATAAGATCTATAGTAGAATTTGAATGAGTACCTAATCCACTAGCAGGTTTATTGAGGATGTCATCATCAAAATCATCTTCACTAGAAGAATTACTAATTTCAATACACTCTTCTGCAACTGGAATTTTGGTGGTGCCTTGAACGTGACTTTCTACTGTAGGTGAGATAGATCCACCTATTCCGTGGGAATCTACCAGATACTTTTGATCATTTAATCGATGTTCTACCCTACTATTTAACACAGGCACATTTGGAATACGACTTTCGTATTTATATGGAAGAGTTGTATCAGTTAAAACAGGGATTTTACTAACATCTGCCGTAGTTTGGCAAATAGACTGTGGATTATCCATTAATGTATCTTTTACATTCAACTGTTTAGTTATTGGTCTATTAAACATAGGTCTGTGAGTATCAGCCTTCGAAGGTTTAAACAACTGATTCAACAAAGCTTGATCAGTATGATGATTGTCATTATTATTATAACTGTACGGTGGGAATCGAATCTGCAAATTAGGATTCGCCGTTTGTGTAGGCAAAGATTGCACAGTATTTCCTACTATTATTGATGGTTCTTTATTGATTATTCTTCCTTCAGCAGCGCACTCCTCGGCTATTGCACGTTCAGCAGCAACACGACGTCCTATGACATACAATTTCTCCTGATCTGTATCAATGGGACCATCGTTAATCGACTCTTTACTAAACATCAAATCATGGAATGACAGGCCATATATAGCATGTTTCAATTCATCACCGCATAGAAAGTTTAAATGTGGATTAATGGAGTCGTCACACCATTTATCTGAACCATCATGCAATAAATCAAGCTGTCGTTTAGTCTCCGAAACACGTGTGTCACCTAACCTGAACAATTCAAACAACTCTTGGCGGCTAAAATAGCGATATGGATCTAGATCTGTTTTGTTTTGACCTGGTGCAGTTGTCTGACGTATTACGGAGTCCTTAAATATTTGACGACGATAAATCTTTTCTTCAACAGTAGCACACGTTATCAACCGGTAAACCACCACATCTAACTTCTGGCCTATTCTGTAAGCACGATCTACAGCTTGTGCATCTACAGCAGGATTCCAACAAGGGTCAAGAATGATGACACGATTGGCTGCTGTAATTGTCAAACCAACACCACCAACCTGAAACAAAAATTTTGATAAGATAAGAATCTATATTAAATTGGCTTGAGGTAAAAGCAAGCATTAAATCATATTGTAGTGACAGCTATTTATAAGAATGCATTTATAAGTAGTATGTAAAGACAAATAGAAAGCAATAACGATCGACTGGTGGGAAATCCGACAAAAAGAATACATAATATTAAAGAGAAATATAAAAGGCGACAACAGTCATCGATTTGAAACTATGTACAATGTCAACGGTGACCGAGACACTAAGACCGTCTTTAGAAATCCTCACTATTCACAGTTTGGAACTTATGCTCCGGGTACTGGTAATCGCCAATGAAAGGTGACAGGGAGACAACAGCTTTCATTTTGGGGCAGAAAAAGTGCTGATTTAGGTGAATACCTTTTGGACTTGCAGGAGCATCGTTTACATTCAGTTGATTGATGAAGTTACTGCTGAGGAATCTAAGCAATGTAAAGGTATGCGGTGATGACCTCATGGTGTATAAGTTTATCTGAAGAAGACCATCTGAAACATCTGGAAACCACTCTAAAACGCACTGAAGAGTTTGAACTGCATACCAATAAGGTGAAGTTTTAGATTGGTAAGATGAATGTTACGTTGTTTGATGAGAAAGTAGAGGATGCTGAAATAAAGCCATTATCTAAAGGAGTTACGGACATCAATAACATAGCGACTCCGAAATATGAAAATCAAGAACAGTGTGGACTGAGACGCAAAACAAGAGATTATTTACGTATGGATAACCTATTGTTCTGCATAATATCAACTCAACCTTACATCTCGTACTTTTAACGACTATGTGTCAAGCAATATCTTAAAAAAGTAGGTTGCTTTTATTCACGTCAACTGTTTCAAAATACTAGAATTACATTAAAAGTGCTTTTAGAGGCAAACAAAATTTTAGTTACGTTGCAATTAATAGTAATCCCGATGAAAATAAATTGATCCGATGTCAGGTATTAAACTAATGAGCTTGAAAGTGATGTCAAATGAAACTAGAAACTACGACAAATGTGTCACACATTCACACTAACAGTGTATAACCCGGTAACCACTCCTAGATGGTAACAAACTACACCTATCGTATTGACAGTGGTGTTCAGTAGTTGTTAAAAAGTCATCCAAATTGTTTTTAGACATGTCACTCAGGCAATAACAACATAGGATCTGATGTTGCTGTGTAGACATGTGAACAAGGGTTTTATGAGATCTAACACTGGTCAGTGTAACCGCTGACACTAACGAAAAGTGAAACAGTTGGAATGAACTTTAATTTATCATCCAATGGCTGAATCATCATCCCAATATGATTTTACATACATCTATTAGACATATTTATAGATAGTTGGGAACGGATGGCTGTCATGACATTTAGTCCTGCTCCAAAAGTATGGCTTGGATATGTAGACGGCGCGTTTAAAGTGTTATAATACGGGCATTTAGTTTCTCTACACATCTAAATTCAGTAGTCAATACAATTCAATTTACCTATGGATTGGAAAAAGATGAAGAAGAGTTAGTAATGGACTGTAGAATAAAACAAAAACAAGACAGAAGTTTACATAACTTGACACTCGAATTCTTACACAAACTACAAATGATCTCACACTTCAGAGGAAATAAGACGTATCCTTAACCGTTACAACATCAGAGTATTCTTTAAGGTGACGAATACATTACACTCACACTTGTGTAAATTAAGATCCGATTCCTCATTTGGAACAACAAAACTGTGTTTATAAGGTACACTGCAGTGAATGCGATGCCACATATATTGGAGAGACATCACGTCAAGTACTAACACGTCTAGCCGAACATGGCAGAAGTTCCAAAAAACCATCAAAAAATTCCTATGATCTAGAAAAACTTGAAAAAAGCTCTGCTATCGCAGCTCATGCCCTATATTCAGGTCATAAAATATCATTCGAACAGACAAAAGTTCTGCAAAAGGGTTTTCTCTCTCACAAAGAGCGGACCATTGCAGAAGCTTTGCACATCTGCTCATATCCGTTTTCGGCCAACAGAAAAGATGGGTTAGACATCCCACTAATATAGCAAACATTAATGACTCGCCTAGGCAGTTATAAATAATATCTGAAGAGAAGGTAGATTGTCTAGTCCTATTACATACACCTTATTGATCTACTATTTTCATCAATTTTACACTACTCTCTGAGTCATATGCACTGGGTGAACCATAACATAATCCATTTTGTTATCACTCATACTTCAAGTGTTACCAAAAATACATTTATGGCTATCATTATTATTTTTTGAGGGAGTTGTGGAGATTTGGAAATATTTCAAGTTGTTATTCATCGTAGACTGACATCAGCTGGAGGAACAGTTGGAGCTAACAGAAGTCGGAAATATGGAGCACTGGATTCTGACCCAGTGGCTCAGTGGTAACGCGCTGGCCGTGGAACCTGAAGGTCGCGGGTTCGATCCCTGCTGGTGTGGGGTCGTGGGTGAGCACTGCTGAGGAGTCCCATACTAGGACGAAACAGCTGTCCAGTGCTCTCAGGTTTCCTTTGTTCCTCCAACTGATGTCAGTCTACGATGAATAACAACTTGAAATATCATTATTATTATTTATTTAAGATATATTGTCTCATCTTCAAATATTCATCCTTCCAAACTAGTAATATATTCTTTCTCACCCTTGATGTCTCACAACCCCATTGTACTTTTCATAGACGAACTAAAAATTTCCCCACCCTATTTTTTTGTTCCACTTTACTTGTACAACGGAAGTAAAACCTCTCTGACCGAGTTGCTTATTCACTCACCTGTATTACATTGATCTTTGCTGCATATCACTATGTAATTTGATGATTGTAAAGGTCACCACTTTATGTACCGAAACTTGAATACTAACCTGAAAACTTAGTGTCAGATTCATACTCTTGAAAAGGATCTTCCTAGAAAGATCGAAACGCTGAGGAATAATACAAAATATTTGTTTATTTTGTTATTTGTTCTAATATACTACGCCGGGATAACACAAGTGAAAATACATCCTATACAATGGATCTCACACTATGTTAGTTAAAGTTGGCTTAGTAAAATGTCTAAGTAATAGGGCGAAGAAACTTACTAGTTAAACAGAAGATCTACAGTTGAGCATAGTGACATATTAATGATATCATCATCACCATCATTATCAACATAGGACCAGGCATTACTGCGTAACCGTCCGAGTTGCCACACCTCACGTCAGTTCATCAAGTAGAAAGGTAGTGAGGTGAAAGATGAAGATAAGTGAATGCAGTCAAAAGAAATATAAAGTATGAGAAGAAAGGAAAGAGGAGTGACAAAATGGTGAGATTCGGTATAGAGTTGATAAGATGAGGATAATGTGTGTATACATCTGCGCCACTGACATCAGTTCTGTCCTGCGGACCCCAACCACCTAGTCTGCATCGTCCTACATGGCTTAAACCAACAGTCAGCGACTTAATACATTGGTGCAATGTTTTAGTCTGGCCACCTCGGGCCATACTTACATAGTAGAAGTGCAAATAAAGTGATGTATTACAAAAATGAGTAAATTCACAACAAAACTTACAATAATAAAGAAAATCAACTTTCTTTTCATTACTTACTTGGGTAGTTAAAAGCATAACTGTATAGGATTTATCATTTTGAAATTTATTAATTATATTCAAACGATCGCATACTTTTGATGTTCGACCATCTAATCGTAGAACACGATGTTTAGTTAGACACTTGATATTATTGTCATTATTTGATAAATCATCATTCATTGGACATGTTATGTTTAAAATCACTTTCTCTGCCATATCAAGAAATTTTAAACTTTGTGAAAATATTAATGTACGTGGTGAATCTTTTTGTGGATTCGATTGTAATTCTTTTAGAAATTGCTTCATTAAACAGTGTAGAAATGCAAATTTTCCAGATTCTTTAATTAACTGTTCTGCTGGAGGAAAGTGTATTTTATGTGAGACTTTATCAATATGATAATTATCATTGTTATCAATATTCTTATCATCATAGTGTAGGTTAAGATTTAAGCATTGTTCTGTCGACAGGAGACGTGGATGATCACAGATTTTTTTCAAAATTATCAATTCCATTAATGGTGAACGTGTTGTACGATTCATGAGTAATTCTTTTACATGATCCAATTGTAAAAAGTCCTGATATATAGACTCTTGTATTGAACTCAGGTAAATCCAGAGTACAATTTCTGTTTTACGCGGCATTACATCTTTAATTGGTACAACTGCATTCATGTTATAATTTTTCGACAAAACTTCAGCTTTTGTTCGTCTTAAAAAGTAGGGATCTATAATTCGTCGTAGACTTTCAGCCATCAATTGACCGTGTACTTTTTCTGCACGACTAGCATCTTTTTCACGTCCACGAGATATTGGTTTGTCATATTCCATAGAAAATGTTTTCTGTGTACCCAAAAGTTGACCACGATGAGTCACATTGTATAGAGACCATAATTCCTTAAGATTATTCTGAACAGCAGTACCAGTCAACAGGACACAATGATCTGCACAAATTGCCTGAGCTGCTTTAGTCATTTTAGCGGATGGATTTTTCACTTTATGTGCTTCATCTAGTATTAAATAAGTCCAATGGAACTCTTTACCAGTTCTGGTAAGAATATCATCAACATCTGCTTCATAAGCTGACTTTTTCGATCTTAGAAATTCAGGATTCGCGTTCAAATCAGTCGACAGATCTTTTACACTCGAAACAAGTGTTCCATAAGTTGTCAGTAAAATACCGCCATGTCGTTGAATAGACACCAAACCTTTAAGACGATCAGACCGACTACTATCGTGAAAAACCATAACACGAAGTGTTGGTGCCCATCGTTTTAATTCGCTTTCCCAGGCAACTAAAACACTGACTGGCATCACAATTAAAGCTGTACAACATGATCTACTGGATACAAAGAGGCCAGAAAGGAAGGCAATAACCTACATTCATATAAACAGGAAAGTGGTTTTCAAATTTCTGTCTCGAGAATAACAAACATAAAAGTTGGAACACAAGAGAATAAATATGAAAGCAACATTTTGGTTAAAATTGTCAACAAAAAGACAGGTGACTACAATTCATACACCATTTATATTTTATCCTTAGTGTGTAGAATTGCATGAAACTGTACTGCCCGTGGTGTAAATCAGTTCTGATAACTATCAAGTGAAATTAGGAGAACAAATGAAGATAAAACAGAGACGCTTTAAATGAAAAGTATCTCAAAAATTATGAGTCAACTGTTTAGGCAACAAGGAACAAACATTACCCATAAACCAATAGAATCACTGAACACAATTCTATGCACACAAAACAGTTTTATATCAAAGGAACATAACCTCGATGTGGCCCACAAAATCAACCGGATGGAATGTAAACACAATAATGTTAGAAAAAAAACTGCTGGTCATCATTTTCAACAATACATATTTAGAAATCATCTAACACAGAATTGCTAGGATGTAATTCTTGACATTCAGTCAACAACAAAAAACAGCCAATGAATGCCTTGAAATCAACCTAGTTTACGCATCAATTAGAAGAAAAGGTCGAGTACATAAAATCAACAATTAGACAATAATCCAAGTTGTTATTCATCGAAGACTGGCATCAGTTGGAGGAACAAAGGAAACCTGGGAGCACTGGACAGCTGTTTCGTCCTAGTATGGGACTCCTCAGCAGTGCGCACCCACCACCCCACACCAGCAGGGATCGAACCCGCGACCTTCAGGTTCCGCAGCCAGCGCGTTACCACTGAGCCACTGGGTCAGAATCCAATGCTCCATATTTCCAACTTCTGTTAGCTCACGATACAATAGACAATAAAGTACTTCTATTCAACAACAATGACTAATCTACAAGTCAAGTGACGATCATGAATAGATAATCTACTTCAAATGTGATAAGAGAGAGAGAGAGACAAGTAATTTATGATAAATTCATCAGGTCCACATTCTTTTTTTAGGCTTACTCTGAAGATACTTTTTTAGTTTAAATATGAACAATGGGCAACGACAAAACTATTTAACTCAGAGAACGGCTAATAGCTGAAATCATTATTTGCAACTTACATATATTCAATATAATTTGCATGGTTTATTTATGTTCTCTGTTGTTGTACTAGACATCATAAGCACAATTATTAAAATGAAGTGAACTACAGTCTTTTAAATAGGCAATTCAGTAATCTAATATATCCTAGAACGTGATCAGTTGTTTTGGTGGCTACACTACCACTGTCCTCAAACATATTATGTCTGGTTGTTGCACTGACGTAGTAGCTGTTGCATATACTTTTTAGTGATTAATGCTGACTGATCCTAGTATTCTTTATGTTTCCTCCATCGGAGACGTCTACATTTCCAAGTCATATTTATACCCATAGCTGCTCACACACATCATCCTTCACCTATCCAGATTTGAGCACCGACATAGTCTCAGACCATAGGCGTGAACTTATGCAGACCTGTGCACGGTCAGCGGATATTAATTAACGTCAGGTTAACCCAAAAAAGTTCCTGAGTTTGATGCCTACAATTATCAAGAATAAATCAGAAACCGTAAAATAATGATACTTTGACACGAAACGGTGCAGTTAAAAATGTAAGCAACTGCATGTGTAATCGGTGGACAACGATAATGAAATCAGTAGGTGAGTAAAATAATGAATTATGTAATCAATATAAAACAAGATCAAATCATAGCCATTATGGACACGAGAGATTGATCACACTCTCCTTCTGTATCCAGAAGTCCGTATGAAAACGTTTCATAGTAATTGATTCCTCAAGGTGTAGTAGTCCAGGCACTTTATGTAGATTTATAATTTGAAAAGCATTCAAAGTATCAACCTTGTATCCTGTGTGTTCATAAGGTGTCTGTTGATAGCACTGGTGAAAATCTTGCTTTTTTCAGACATAAATTCTTTGCAAGATGCTAAATGGACTAAATGGATGCCCTTCTTTAGGTCCTCCCAGTGTATTTATTATCACAAGTGCATGTAAATTCATAAACGCAGTTGGACGTGATATTTGTAGGGTATTTGTCCAATTTGGACTGGTTCAGTGGTCATGAAGTATCGTATACTGATACAAGTTTGGTTGCAGGAAAGTTTCCTTTCAATGCTTCTTTGCTTTTTATGTCTATCTTTTCAGATACTGTATCTTCTTCGAATAAAACCTTTCTTTTCAACAACTGAATGCTTATTTCTTTCAACGTTTTTTTCCATACCTTATAATCAGTTTGTCAGGATATCTAGTCGCCAAGACACTTCGCAAAAAATGTTTTTTTCTCCCGCTAATTTTGTCGCAGAACATAAGTTTATAGTTCTGCTGTAAAATATTTTCACTAATTTGTGCCGAAAGCTGCCAGGACAAAAAATGATGAGCTCTGGGTACTGTTTGGTCCATATATCTTTTCTATGAATAGTCTTATCGACTGTAACATTATTTCTCCTTTCTACGTTGAGGTTCAAAAATCGAACTTGCTGTTATGCTCATATTCCATCGTAAATTTCATGTCTGAGTGAGCCATGTTGAGTTTGTCGAACAACTGAGTTGTATGGTTGGTTTCATAATCATCACAAACAACAGCGTACCTGTGATAGTCAGTTGTTCTTCTGACGACTGGAATCAGACCTATCTGTTTCAGATAACCCATGAAGATATCTACCAGAACAGATCTTAGAAGTGAGCCCATGACCAATCCATCAATCTATCGACAAGGCAGGTCATCGAACTAGAACTGAATACCTTTTGTGCAAAAGAAGCAGTAGCTATTTTACTTCAACTTAGGGAAACGGCAGTAGATCAGTTTGTAGAAAGATTATATCAATCTTCCCACTCGCTGGTACATTTATAAATAAAGGTGTCATATTGTATGACACCATGAGCTTACCTGAAACGTCGACATGATCTAGTTCGCTAAACTGTGGATAACCAACTTACTCGAGATAGCCTCTAAAGATTTCGCCAACTATCTGACCAACTTGTGATAGGGCGAGTTAATCACTGACATTATGGGGTCTCAAATATATATTGGATTTATGAATTTCAGGTAATCCATATATGAATAAAAGACGCGAACCTTTTAGTTTGAGTTTATTATGTCACATTTCTAATCAATTTCTTCCTCAGAAGATCTTCATATACAGGCTTAGAATCCGAAAGTAGTATAGGTTTTCTTGTCTCTACGTCTACTCGACTGACTCGTTTCACTAGACGGTGGAATTTAAAGCCAAGGGATAGAGTTTCAATGTCCAGTTAGATTTCATTCCTGATCAATTACATACATAGCTCTCAGGATTTTCAAGGGATTCTTTATGAAACTTTCCAGTGACGAAGGGTTCTACCAGTTTATACTCATAATCCTTCGAAGTTTTCGATTGCAGTTCTTGGATGAATTCAGTGAATTTACTCCAGTAAATAATATTTAGGCCATTTGTTGAGCTATCGAACGCGGTTGATCAAGAATTCAATGTTGAAATGCATCTACTGGATGAGTCAATATATGATTTGGTGATGCGATGGAGATTTTTAATAAAGTGGGAAACGGGCTAAAGTTGGATAACTTTCAATAACTGACGTCGGAAGCAACCAGTGTGCAAACACTGATCATGGAAACGAACCTCAGTTAATTCTCTAGCTATTCTGCAATGTAAAGTCACTACATGATCCAGTGACTGAACTGAATGTGTAGGGGGGGGGTGACTTCTTTAGGAACTTCATGGGTCTGGATCCCTTGATAAATATATACTCTGATGTTATATAAATAGCACAGGGTATTCTCCTAGGGAACAGTGGTTGGGGACTCTAGGTGATATAGCTCAGAATCAAAGTCAGTGGCGCAGATGCATACACACATTACCCTCATCTTAACGCTATACCGAATTTCACCATTTTCTCATTCTTCCTTTCTCTCCTTTCGTACTTTACATTTCTTTTGACTGAATTTTCTTTTCTTCATCTTCCACTTGGATTGCCTTTTTACTTGATGTACTGATATGTGGTAAGCAACTCAGACCACTATGCAGCAATGGCTAGTCCTATGTTGATGATGATGATGACCTAAGCAACAGAAGTAAACCTGCAGACACAATGTACAGTTAACTTTTTCAGGTAAATTCACCCCTCTACTTCAGTAAGATTTATAAACATGTATATTTCTGTTCTTTGAAAATTCTCAATATAGTTCAAAAGACAATTCAATGAACAAAGAATATTCTCTTCAATAAATTTTCAGGTTTCACAGTTATACATCCATATCGTTTAATCAAAGAATGTGTATTAACAACAGTGAGATTTTATATGACAATCAAGCATTAAATAGTCCGGTAATTCTCTAGAAAAATCTTGTGTGAAAGGCAATGTCAGAGTCGAATATTACTAGAATTCAGTTCAAAATAGTTAATTTTATATAGACGATGTCTTAAGTAACAATAGTTAGACAGAGAGTTGATACTCACAGTAAATGATTATGACAGACAGCGGATTTTATATCGCCAAATGATTGTGACAAAAGGTTAAAATGAATTCTACTCACGTCGATAATGACATTCATACGAATAAAGCCTAACATATGTAAGGGGGGAAATGAGATGTAGTGAAGTGTGCTGTACGTGGTTGAAGAATAAAAGTCAATAATATAAGAGTAAAACTTGAGCAGTGTGATAGAATGTAATTCCATTTTAGTTGGTTTATTACATTTATCACACAGTCGAATAGTATTGTTTACTGGAATTTATTTCGGACATGATTTATTGCCCCCATAGTCATATCAAGATAACCACACAACTATGAGACATCCTCACAAAGGAGGTGAAGAAATTAGGAATATATAAAGGATGTTCCAAAGTTGTGTAGTTATCTTGATATGACGTAATCCAGTAAACAATACTGCTCCACTGTGTGATAAATCTAATAAATCAACTAAGAGGGAATTGCAGCCAATGACAGCCTGGCGAAAACATTAGGTCAAGTTGTAAAACTGATGAATAGTGGCTAGTAGTGCAATCCAGGACACGCATTTCATCCTACTTGGGACTCGTCAGCTGGATGTACCTATCTCCCAGTGAGCAGTGTTGTACCCAATAAGACTCGAACCCCGGGCTGATCGTTCAAAACGCTAGTAAGCAACTGAAAGTTGTACAAATGTATGGGGATAGGAATGGATGAATTTGATAACACTTAAGGTTACAAGGAAGGTATAAAGGAATATGTGGAAGCGGTTAAGAAGTTTACGATCCAAACAGCTAGTGCAAGAGAGTGCTTAAGAATTTATCGATTTCAAAGCTGTAATGGTTAATGTAAGCATAGAATTTGGGCACTGTGGCAGAATATCATTTCATACTGTGCTACATGAAATAGACTAATCTAATATAGTAGTAACGGTTGCAACGTGAACACAGAAGATAACGGTTGAAGATCAAGACGATAACAGTCTACTAAGTCACCGACTATCAATCTAATAGAAATGCGTTTTCGTCTCAATTTCAGGAATCTGATAACAAGTTAAATTCTCTTCCGTCTAGCATTTACTTATTAATAATTACATGATAATTTTTTACTATCTTCCCTTACCCAGGTACTATGGAGTTGCTGTCCGTTAGGCATTTTCATTGTCACCCTAGTAAATCATACCTCAGGCTGTATATGGCAACAGTATAAAATTAGAGTGCACCTATTCAACACCTGTAACACAAAGAACGTAATTTTGAAGTACATGTTGCGGCATGTATCTTTTCTCTATGTTCATGCAAAACTTGGCAAATAAACCCACAACAGAAATAAACAAATGCAAATATATTTCACTAGAGAGCTTGCTCATTTACAGTTTGAAAAACAGCTAGTGGTAAAAAACGCATTCTCGTCGTAGAGCATTTAAGACTATATCCAAGACAATCAGATACTTCGATAAAGGAAAGGAAAATGTGCGTATCAGATGTTAGTGATAATAATTCTCACCTTCAATACTCAAACTATCGCTTAGAAAATGGACTGCTTCTATACCTTATTTACCAGTAAGAAGTGAAGTGGTCAGATCAGCTTTAATGGGGTAGCAGTCGACGAAATTTCAACACGGATACAAAGAGTGGTGTTGATTTTCACCAACTTACAACACATGTGGCACTGGTGAGATACCTAACGGCCTATTAAGTACTGAGAGTACCAGGTGGCAGTTTGTTCTCTTCAACTTTATCATCATGAAACAGAACCATTGAAGATAGAGGATATGAGAATGCTTCAAATGTTCAAATACCGTTGCCTTCGTAGAACAGACCATGAGTCTTGGTACCACTGTATCAGTAATGTAGAGACTAGGTAAAGGGTTTTGGGTAAAAACGTACGTCACTTGATGAGGCTGTAAATCCTCATCGACTCAGATGGCCTGAACATTTTGCCAAGCAGGTTTAGTCAACGGGTACTCCGGCGTAAAACGTTAGCCGAAATAGGTTCAAACTGGAAAACAGTCAAGGGTGGTCAGACTAAAAGTATCAGACTATGAAGTCTCTAACCGCTGGTCTGAACCCTGTAGGAGAATGCCCACATACAGGTTGAAGTCCATGTGAAAACTTGAACCCAGGAGGTAGACTCGTAGTGACATAGCCGAGAACGAATCACAAAGGCGTACATGCCTCCGCACTTCATCTTCATCTTAACGGTTACATTACATTTAGTTATTGGCATTAATCCCCCTTATTTTCATGTTTTCACCTCTCACCAATTCTGATGACATCATTTGTATTTTTCATGTTGACTTATATCATGATGTGCTATATAACGTGCGGTAACTATGACTATCACGTGAAAAGCCCAGTTACCATGATGATGTTGACTGACTGCCAAGTTATGTCATTAATACATGAATAGGTAGATGTTCTACATGCTAAAGACTCACACAGCTGACAACGTATAATAATCATTGAACAGGTTTTATTCTTCATCATATACCACTCAGTTCAGTAATGGACTCAGTGTTGGAGCTCGTAACATCTATCCAATGTTACTGATTTAACTATTCATAAGTATCTTATACTTTGATACATTTCCCCTGCATCCTTCTGATTGGTTATTTGTTGTTGTCAAGCTACTTGCTGTAGTCTGATTGGTTGATATAATGAGTTGACCGACAGTCAAATGGAAATTATCATTTTTTTTACCTAGTGTTGACCGTAGCTCACGTATTTCGATGCTACACAACCTCAAAAGTGAGTTCGAAATCGATATTAACTATTACTAAATTTGGAATCACTTGTTATCATTACAAAACGAATAGATAATCTTCGGACTTAAAGCGGCTATAGGTTGACTGAATCTAGGTGAAGTTAGCAATGCTAAACACAGCAAGAGCATACCTTGGAGGGAGAAGTCTGTTGAAGGAAATACATAAGAATAAATACCTTTTTAGAGAAAAGCCTTACTGAATTGTTTTCTTAAATCGATTGCGCTTACCTGGACTGTTTTACCCAAACCCATATCGTCGGCCAATATACCACCAGAATTTTTTTTATGCAAACTCCACAGCCAATGAACACCATCTTTTTGATAATCATACAACTTTTCATACAATAGCTTAGGTACACTGAATCCATCGGCAATCTTGATTAGATCACTGTGTGCTCCTGTAAGCTGATTAGCGAAGTTTTTGTTGATGTGTTGCTTAGGCTCACAATGTTGATCAGTAGATATCCCATTTTCTTTTAAATAATTCTCGATTCTTTCAATTTTCCTTTTTATCTTATCGCATGGTTCAATTGAGTAAGCTTTTTTAAGAAGGTGAAGACATTCGGAATACTCTCCAGATTGGTAAAATAATTTTGCTTTATCAACTAGAGCTGACTGAGTATCACCATCATCCTGCAGCTATTTTTTTGTCAAAATAATCAAAACAGTAAACGAGAACATACCTTTTCTTCCCCGGAAATCACCTCTGCATTTGAAGTATAGATAGTATAATCTTCAGGATGTGATGCTTGTTTCATTTGCTCAATTTTTGTTTGAATCTCATCTGAAGGATCACATATATATGCCTCCTTCAGAAGATTTATACACTCATTTATATTTCCGGCAGACTTACACCTTTCAGCTTCACTAGCAAAGTGTTTGGCAGCTTCCTATTCGGACAGAAAGAAAAATCGACATGAATCATACCTTTAGAGGACTATTCGATTTCGTAGGAGTTACTGGACTATTTTCCTTGGTCTCATCGGCGATTATTTTCTGAAGGCGCACAATTTTTCGCAGAAGATTGGGTGACGGATCTAATAGGTACGCTCTTCGACAAAGATTGAGAGACTCATGAAAATCTCCATCTTCACACTTTAAGCGTGCTTGAGTGAGGAGCGATGCAGACTCATCCTTTTTGCTCATTATGGGTGAGTGTTATTGCTGTCAAGTAATCTAATGGAGAATACAATAAAAGCAATTAGTAGTGTTTAAAAATAATTCGACGAAAACTCCGAAGGATTTCTCAAGTTTTAAAACGGTAGAAAACTATTTAGCTACATAAATTAGCAGGTCGCTTCCAGCCATCACTAAGAATAGCATCCATCAGATGAGCTGGTTTCTGACGCATGTAAAACAACTATTTCCCAGATAATTTTTCCACCAATCCATTGCGAGTATTCGAAAATGATTCTAAAGAAAGTTTGAGAGATAGTGAAGTTCCATACAAACTATTGTGGTTACTGGCTTACCTAAAGTCACTGGGCGTATGGAGTTTATCATTTGATAAAACTATGGTATTATCGACGCCCATGTAACCAAATGGTCAGCAACATGCGACCCTTTCCTTACCCTTGTAACACCAAAGTACAGAAAGAAGAGGTCACGACTGCTTCTAAATGCAAAGTAGTACTCAAAGAGACCAAAGTCAATATCTGCTTCACATAAGCTTCCAAACCGTCTACAAATCAATATGAACTTCTATACATCATGAGAATGTATGCTGGTAGTATAAATCAACAGTCAGTTTATAAGGATTGAGATATAGCATTTTTGTAATGAATACCGCTTTTTTTCTGTGCATCTCGTTTACTTTTTTCACTGTGGGTTGAAAATGAATTAACTCTGTATTTTCCTAATATCTAGGCTTTTGTTACCATTTCCTTATAACTACATCATGTGGACCATCATCAGTCACTCGAGCCAGTTAAATGAAGTCAAAGAATAAAATTTAAAAAAAATTGACATTTTACTAAGAACTGTAGTACATCTGTACTGATTTTGTTAACGTTAACAATGCCTATATAAGTATTCAAATTCGTATCGACGATTTTCACCGTTAGGTCTGTGTAGTAACAAATCTGTCAGTCAGGTCAAACCATACTGAAGGTATCACAAATATGACCTTTTGAAGTGCCTGTGGGTGCTTGATCTGGAGCCTCCAATGGTTTCAAATGTTTAGTAAGGAAAAGTTTTTGCCTAACTAGCTTCCATATGCAGAAGCAGTGGGCCGCAAGTTCCTGTGGTTCAGAATCAAAAGAGTAAAATCACGAGTAATAAACAACTCTCTTGCTTAGCTTTCATATCATGCAAGGTCAGTTACCACATAATACACCAAAAAGGCGAAATCATACAACTCAATGCTAACCTCATAGATAACCTCATACATAGATTTGAAAACCATTAGTCGTAACTTGGCAAAATAACCTGATGCACTCAAACAACCAGCTACAGTTCCTCAATTCTAAATAATGAGTCACTTGATGTCCAAATCTTTATGGCCCACGGGCGACAAACTAGTAATACCTTGAATCCTGTATCTGTAGAACTATAACCGTATCCTTTCAACAGCATCCGACAAACAAAATCAACAGTGCAAGTCGAGGAAACTTGTAGTTTTTTAACACTCGATTCAAGGTCTCTACAATTGGCCTGTTATGCTCTTTCGGTGACCGCGGAAGTCTTTCAGTCGATCTGCCTAAAGTTTTGAAGGTAGTGATTGCCTGCCTGAAGGTTTCTTGTGGCGGGCGACAACGGAACTGCTGATAAGATCAGTTCCAATCCAATTTCCAATATTGATAGTGCGAGCGTGGGAAACTGGTAGTTTTTGATCTCTCGCGTCTAGTTCTTAGGGCTTGGTTCGAGTTGTTCAGTTCACTCCTGCAGTGGATGAGGAAATCCCCTCTGCTTTCTTGCTTTTAGCTTCGGTGAGGTGGATGTTTTGTGGGTTAGTAAGTTGTAATTTGTAGAGTGATTAGGGAGGTACGGGTTGCTGGGATGTTTGGAGAACTGCCGTGACTCCTATCTGTGTAGGTACCTGGAAGGAAGTAGTAAAGTAGTGGTAAAGGAATGAAGAGAGAATTTAAAAAAGGGGGCAAAAAAATAATAATATAGGGAAGAGAAAAGGGAAGGAGGAGAGAAGGAGGCCTGAAAAGAGAAATGAAAAGGAAAAAGTATTTGGGAATTGCCCGAATGGTCGCGTGGGTTTGGTTCCTACAGAAGAATTAGTAGGTAATGTGGGTGTATTAAGGAGGGAGATAGTGAGTGGTAGTTAGGAGGGAGTTGGGGGCTACTGAGGTTGGTGACTACCTGAGTACGTCCGTGGTAGTCCATGCGAGGTGACATAACTGTCTAATCGCCTCTTGAATGAGTCGACTGAAGGAGCTATAACGATGTGTCGCGGTAAGGCATTCCATAAAGCACATACTCTCAGGGAGAAAAATTTGGACCTGAGTGTGGTGTTGGCTCTCTGGTGTGCTATCTTAATGGGGTTTCCTCGTGAAGATCGTTCAGTTGCAGGCAAAATTGATTTGTTTGCATGGTCTGCCTGATGGGCGATCTTGTATGCCATAATGAGGTCACCCCTTTTCCTGCGATAACCCAAGGTAAATAGGTTGAGGTGTTTAAGTCTTTCAGGATACGTCTTTCCCCTTAGCCCCACAACTGATTTTGTTGCAGTTCTTTGTATTCTTTCAAGGAGATTAGAGTCTCTCTTGAGTGTTGGAGGAGCCACCGTATTGAAGACCTCTAGGTGCGGCCGCACGTAGGATTTGAAAATGGTGAGGAAGAGTTCGGGAGTGAGGGCGCCAAGCTGTCTACGCAGAAAGTGTAGAATGGCGTTCGCTCTGGTTGTCATACCTTTGTAGTTGGAGCTGGTGTCCAAGGTGTCGGAGAAGTTGAGCCCCAAATCTTTCTCCATGGACACTCTGGTGATAGCACGGTTGCTCAACATGTACTGGAAGTCGGTCGTACTTGCCTCATTTTTACTGATGTGCATTACTTTGCACTTTTCCAGGTTGAAGCTCAGGCCATTTTCCGACGACCAGAGCTCGAGTTGCTGCAAGTCCTTTTGTAGTGCTGTACAATCAGCTTCTTCGTTTACCACCCTCCAAATTTTTATGTCGTCAGCGAAGAGGAGGATGGGTGAGGATATTTTGTCTGGCAGATCGTTGACAAACAGGAGGAACAGAAGCGGTCCTAGGATTGCTCCTTGGGATACTCCTGACGTCGAGGGTCTCCACTCCGACCTTATTCTGTTCACTTTAGTGCAGAACTGCCTCCCTTCCAGGTACTCCTTGAACCAAGAGAGTAGGGGTCCACTTATACCAGCTGACATGATCTTGTGAAGCAGTACTGTGGGTGGGACACTGTCAAATGCTTTGGCTAGGTCGAGAAATACAACATGTACAGGTTTTCTATTATCCCAGCTTTGTGTCCAGTCGTCCCAGGCGGTTAGTAAGTTGGTGGCACATGAGCGACCACTCCGAAAGCCGTGCTGAGCAGATGGACAGTGTTTTCCTATTGAGGAATTCCCAGATGGTGTCAGCTACCAGGCTTTCCAACACTTTCGACACAATAGGGAGTAGGGCAATTGGCCTGTAGCTGCCAGGGCTTTTTCTGTCTCCTCCCTTGAAGATGGGTGACAAGATGGCACTCTTCCATTCTTTAGGGAGTTTGCACGAGTCTATTGAGTGCTCAAAGAGGTTGCGAAGTGGTTTAGTAAGCACCTCGGCGCAGTTTTTCAGAACCACTGGTTTTAGGTTATCGCAGCCAGGGGACTTGCCCGGACGTAGCCTAGATAGCTTCTCGAACACCTTTTTCTCTGTAATAGAGACGTGACAGAGGTATTCGTTATTTGCGACCTGGTCGGTGTCGTAGCGAGTCGGTGTGGATCTTGTGTCAGTGCTGAGTTGGGCTTGGAAGTGTGAGCTCAAAAGCTCGGCAATCTCTAGACTGCTTAGTACACTCCCGTCATGGCCTGTGACAAGATTCACTCCCTTACTGGTCGACTTTCTTCTCGACATGAAGCGGTACAAGTTTTTTGGGTTGCTTTGTAACCTCGCTGCCAAGTTTGTTTGGTAGGAAAATCTGTCGTTACGCACAGCGGTTGCGAATCCTTTTGTAGTTCAAGAAGTCAGACTCCCTGCGTGATGTACGCCACTTGAACCAAGCCTGCTTCTTGCTCTGGATAAGCCTCTCTGTCCCACGCTTTAACCATGAGGTTCTCATTGATTGTCTGTGTGTTACTTCTGGTACACTGTGACTGATGGCCCCAGTGATTATTTTCTTCACCTCCAACCAGTGTTCATCTATTGTGAGATGAGTCCAGTCCACTGGCCATGATGCATTCATGAGGTAGTCCCTCATGGTCTCATAGTTGGCCTTGCTGTAGCAAGGGAAGGTGTTGGGCGTCTCCAGTTGCAGAGCCTCCCTAGTTATCATGGAGAAGGTGATTACAGCGTGGTCACTGAGGCCAAGGGGAGGTTGGATGCAAACATCCTCAATGAGAAGTTCATCGTTCGTCAGAACGTAGTCAAGGCGCGATGCGTTTCCGTTAGGTCCCCAGCGTGTAGCATCACCCACTTTCTCTGAGAGGCCAGCAGTCTTAATTGCATCCTTCAGCTTCTGATTGAAGGATCTGATGCGCCGGCGATGACTACGGAATCGTAATTTGCAGAGGAAGTCGTTAAGATCGCCTTGATGACCATTTCTATATGTGTAGGGGAGCTGGTGGGGGACCGATATATGACTCCGAGCAGGTATTTGGTACGGTGGAGAGTGAAGTAGCACCACAGAGACTCCGGGAGCTGGGTTAAGGCCGTATCGCTAACCATCCTTGCCTTTAAACAGGAGTTTACGTAGATAGCCACTCCTCCTCCTGCTCTATGTTCCCTGTCCCTGCGGAAGAGTTCCATGCCAGTAACATGCATCTCTTCGTCGGAGATGTCTGGCGAGAGCCAGGATTCTGTGATGAATATGATGTCCGAGTGCTGATGTTCACGCAGCGTCCTCATTTCTGCTACCTTCCCTCTTAGCCCCCTAACGTTGCTGTACATACATATTAGAGTGTGCATGGTGAGAGGGAGGTCTGGTTGTATATTTTCGCGAGATGAGTGCTTACGTGGTTGGGTCTAGCCTCTCCAGTCCCCATAGGACTGGCATTGTTCCGTTTTTTGTGTTTTGTCCTTAACTTGGGTGGGGGCTGTGGCAGTGGTGGCTTCTTTACTTGATGTATCTAACTCACTGGTCAGCGCCTGTGTGACGACCACTGACTCCAGAGGTCTTGGTGGTTACCGTCTCTCCTCTTGCCTTGCGGGTCTAGGCTTACTTTCACATATACGTATTGAGCCACCCATGCGATCTTTCGCATTATACCATGTGTGTAGAACGTCTGTGAGGGAGGCATATGAGTCGAACTGGACGGCGAGTAGTCTGGGATTGGGTATGGTCTTCAGGTGCGCTGGCCTTGGCAGTCTACTGACGCTGTTGGCCGGTATACTGTTGAGACCAACTTTGGTTGAGAGCCATTGCCATTGTTGGACGTCGTGAAAGTACCGATCTTTGACCGAGCGGTCACTTGGCAATTCTGGAATCCCATGTACAACTATAGTGTTGTTTCTGTTGGGATTTCCAACCGCTGACTTTCTCTCCTCCTCTCTTATTGACCATGGCTTGTCAGGCCTGGCCCGAATTTTACAGGCATTAACAACGTCCGGTTGTCGCGAGAGAGGAGTGTGTCTTCAGCCTCTTTGGCGGTATTTAGGGACACACGTAAGGGGGTGGCTTATCTCGGGGTGCACGGCTTCCTCGAGAAAGGCGACATAAAGTTGCAGGGAGGGGAGGGAGTCCCAGCATCTGACAGTAGTCGGTCCACATTCGGCTGTCAAACCGTTCCCTCTCGACCAACAATGAGTCTGTCGATACATCGACGTTGAACAAAATGATCGAGTTGGTCCTCCTGTGACCTGGGTTCGTTGTGGGTGGCACGCCCGACTTCCCAATGGGTTTGAGTAATTCCACTGGTTGTTTCTCAGTCACGGTGTGTGGGGTGTTCGGAATGGGTTTCGTAGAGGCTTCAGCGGTCGATGTCTTTGGCCATGCGCTTGACGTCCCTGGGGCCGGGTAGGAGGTATGGAGACTTGACCTAATATGGTCCCCACGCGAGGTGGCGTGCCCACAGCTGGAGCTCTAGGTCTGTTTCCAGGTCTCTCTGTGTTATCCTTTGGTGTTAACCCTACTTTATTCGGGGATGCTGGTAGCTTTTGCGTGGCGGAGAGCATCTCCTTCAGGCTTTCTGTGCGGAGTGCGGGCATTTTCCTGCACTCTGGACAGATGTACCAGAACCACTTGCATGGTTGTCTCTTCATCAGCTTATAGTATTGTCGGGGGACTTTGGTGTCGCAGTGGCAATGCGCCCATCGTTGACATAGGTTGCATGCAAATGCCTCATCGACTACCGAAACAACTTTGGTGCAAACACTGCAGCCATCGGGTGTCGTAATACAGCCTTCCTTCCATGAATAAGGTGCTACGGATTGTGGCGAACTGCTTGTGGCTGCCTTGTTCTGAAGCCTTTTACGTCGTCTTCTATTTCAGGCATGGTATGATCCTTGCTCAAGATAGGACTAGTTTGTGACGGGCTAGTGCTACTCTGTGTCACCTGTCTGATGGCGACTGGAATTCTAGAAACATGGGTTGGCCACTTCTTTAGAAGTTCGGTGTTCTGCCCTACCTCTGTTTGT